TTTTTGGTGGTGACGGCCGCCAAGGCATCTCGCCGAAACCACCAAAAATACAAATCGCAAATGAAACAGCGATCTCCTGGGGGCATGACGTCAGCGAATGTGAAGACTGACACGAAACCATTACATGGCGTAGTCGCTGTTTGGAATAGTCTTCACTTCGCTTTGCCGTAAAACAGAGCCAATTCGGTAAGTTTCTCCTCTTTTTCACTGCTGATATTGCACTTATTCGTTGTCGTTCATGAAAGCGTCAATTAAAATAGCAACGAGACTGAATTCTACCACGGTTTGCCGGCCTCTCGGTTTACCACAGTTTGCACGCTTTGGTGGGCCTGAATATGTTTATAGTATTTTAATACTACTTAAAAGTAGTGTTATGACGTGCATTAAATGTCAATTGTCGAGCTCTCTTTTCTTTCTCCGACTCACGCTTACTTTTCAATGAGAGTCCAACTTCAACGGCTCTTTGAACGTTGGAGGAGTACGTGAGAAGTTGAATATTATGCGTGCCCTGGACGCCATGGTAAGAAAACTGATATCCTTGATCTGTTTTGACATTTTTTGATCAAAGTGATATCGGAATGCTTTTAATTGGTGTGCCGGACGATAAGAGTAAGCTAAGAGAAGACATGTTTATTATTTTAAAGAGGTGTACACTATATTGCTTTGTTTATTAATTTTTCCTGGGTGCAGTGAAAGTAAAAGTAAGTTCCATTTTTATTTTGTCGATGAAACGTAGATTACATGTCTGGACCGGAAACAGTTAAAGGGTTTTTTTCGCGTTCCAAATTAGTTTTTGCCAGAGTAATATTTTTTTCTGAGTTGGTTTTGCGCGCATACATACTTATCTTCCCTGTGCTCTTTCCCATTCCGTAGTCATCACGTATTAAGGAAGGCTAGTGCGGACACCGTAATGCACGTAGTTGTACGTAATTGTCCAACTCTAGGTCGAGTTTTACCATTCGATCTGTTACAGTCGCAACTTGCTGAATAAAAACTATTGCATAATTCAGACAATTGACAGGACATCTTGCTGTTTTGTCGTTTGTTTCGGTAGACGTATTTATTTATATTTTTATTCATTTTTACATTTCTGTACCTCAACTATTAATTTTTGTGATTATTATTATTATTATTATTATTATTTTTATTACTATTATTTCTACAGACTGAGTTCAGTACACACTAGATATATTGACTAGTGTTTCGTGACCATGGCGTCCAGGGCACACACAAAATCCAACTTCTCACGTACTCCTGCAATGTTCAAAGAACCGTTGAAGTTAAACTCCCTTTGAAAAGTAAGTGCGAGTCAGAAAAGAAAAGAAATGATAGCTCGGCAATCGACATTTAATGCACATCATAACATTACGTAATACTATTAAAATTCAGGCTCACCAACACGTGCAAACTGTGGTAAACCGGGAGGCTGGTAAACCGTGGTAGAATCCAGTCTCGCTCTTTTAATTAACACTATCAGGAACGACAACGAATAAGTGCAATATCGGCAGGGAAAATAAAGGAGAAACTTACCGAATTGGCTCTGCTTTACGGCAAGGCGAAGTGAAGACTCTTCCAGACAGCGATTATACTATGTAATGGTTTCGCGCTAGTCTTCACATTCGATGACGTCATGCCAATAGCAGATCGCTGTTCCATTTGCGGTTTGTATTTTTGGTGGTTTCGGCGAGATGCCTTGGCGGCCGTCACCACCAAAAATACAAGGATGTCGTATAGATCAGCAAATACAAAGGTGGCTTAAGGATCAGCTGCAGGATAGCATAGCTAATAAAGGAATGTCATGGCCTTCACGTCCCGCCACGACGATTCGCCACAACATCGAAATATTTCAAGTAATACTAAGCAATTTAATGTTCAGATAGAGCGTCTGATGTTTTGCAAAGCTATTCGACCTAACGCTACACTATTTGTGTCTACGCTGTACCATTCTACATTACGCTGAGCCATTTCACGCAACGCTACACCATTTGTGTGTACGCTGTGCCATTCGACATTATGCTAAGCCACTTCACGCAACGCTACACTGTTTGTATGTACGCTGTACCATTCGACATTACGCTGAGCCATTTCACGCAACGTTACACTGTTTGTACGTACGCTGTACCATTCGACATTACGCTGAGCCATTTCACACAACGCTACACTGTTTTTATGTACGCTGTACCATTCGACATTACGCTGAGCCATTTTCCGCACCGCTACACCATATGTGTGTACACTGTACCATTCTAAATTACGCTGAGCCATTTGACGCAACGCTACACCGTTTGTGCGTACGCTGTGCTACTCGACGTTACCCTGAGCCGTTTAACGCAACGCTACACCGTTTGAGTACTGTATTGCAAATGAGTGCTAAGCTATTTGTAATTGAGCTAGTGCATTTCACAATCTCATTCTCCAACTCAACATGGGCTACTAGACCGTTTCTCATTTGGCTAAACTATTCATGTTTAGGGTGTTCTGTTTCACGAAGGAAAACTAGACTGTCTATAATTTGGCCATGCCATTCCTTTATTAGCTATGCTATCCTGCAGCTGATCCCTACACCATCTTTGTATTGATCTATTTGACATCCTTGTATTTTTGGTGGTGACGGCCACCCATAGCTGAGATTAAGTCAGTTTTTTCAAATCTTTCTTTTCCATTATAACATTAGTTGAGATAATATTATTCATCGTACTACTTATACAAGCGTTATCTCTTTAAGCCATTTTTTTCTTATGACATTTAAAACGATATTATAGTAAAATATTTTTGGATGATTATTCATCATATCCACAAAAATGGATATATTGAACTTTATTTCCATCAATCGATTAATTATGCCTTAATATTGCGTTTTTATTGAGTCTTTCCATCAAATCATCAAGTATCTTAACACTATGCATTTTCAACCATGTTATTTCATTCCTAACGGATTTATTCTTTTTTTCCCATTAACCGTAATTTCCGGCTGATTACCCGCAGGTAATCTGTTAATGTTTCGACTCAGTAGACCTCGAGATATCGATTTTTTTTTCGAGAACAGATTTTTACAAGTGGTATCGTTCTCAATGAAATAGGGAGGACACTAAATGATATAATGTCAACCACAGGCAGCCAAAGCTCCAGCTGTGAGATGATCATCTTGCGCAATAATAGTCGAAATACCTCACCTTACTTCCACAGCGTATCGCTGTGAAGTATTTTCATTGAGAATTTTATGAACAAACTCTTATAATTCTGCTATGACTGTTATTGCGTAAGATGATCATCTCACAGCTGGAGCTTGGGCCACCAGTGTGTCAACAAAAAAAAGGAAGGAACTTTCTTTGAGTCGACGATTTTCTTTTGTTTTTGGGTGGGGGTTATCTGCCGGTGGGGGTAATTTGTTGAAATTTTTTTCTCGTTATTGCAAAAATTGACCGAAGACTGTTATCAGAAAAAATATTAAACACAACGACTATATAAATACATTATTTAACAACGAACAGATATATCATAAAGTGAAAACTATTAGAAGCGTTAATCGTGAACTTGGTAGTTATGAAGTGATAGTTACTCGCTATCTTGCTTTTGATGACAAGCGTTATATGCATGAAGATGGCGTGACATGTTACGCTTCTGGACACTACTAAACTTTTCGTAAATCACGAGCTGGAGGCGAGAGATTCACAAACCTTTCGAGTTTTAAAGTGGGTTAAGAGGCTGCGGAGTGGGGCATGAAGCCTTAGTTTGTGTACAGGTTCTTTAAAACCTTTTTACTTCCATAAGTGACATCCATTCGCTTCGAATTCCTCTCAAGAACATTACGAGATGAAAAGAAATGATCGCCTAATCTGTTGACCAAATTCTCCTCGTCAGTACCATAAGAAAAGAATAGAGAACAGTATGAAGAATATGCATACTGATCTGGGGCTGTAAGAGGGGAAAGGCTAGCAAAGGGTGATCTCTGTTTCTTTATCTCCTCTTACCTCAGTTTTCTTGGTTATCGCATCAGAAATTTGAGTCCTGATATAATTTCTCTTTTCATATCAATGCAGTGCATGTATAAACAAATATTCTTACTGTTTAGGAATGCTAAGGCCTAGTTCAAACGTCGATCTTTACATGTACCGAACCTAATTGCAATTTGGGTCGACTCGAATAATTAAGGGCGGCAGTTGATTCAAACGTCTATACAAATCTGCCGATCCTAATTGATTCAAACGTCGATCTTTACATGTACTTAATAGAAACGTTAGGTTCGGTACATGTAAAGATCGACGTTTGAACTAGGCCTAAGCGTCCTTAACCCTTTCACCCTAAAGTGTGATCAGCATCTAATTTCTCCTTACAATATCAACCCTTGAATCCTAAAAAGGTCATGGGAATAAAGAAAATGATCTCTTACTAAAGAAGCTCTTGATTGCTCAACAACCTCTCCCTGTCAATACGTTTCCTTTCAGTTAAAGGAAATGTTTAAAGAACAGAAAGGAGAAAATGCATACTGATATTAGGGTGCAAAGGATTAATAATGAAGCGGTCAGTTCTATCAGGACATAGCGAATCTAACAAACCATTCGTAAGGCCACCTAACCCACGTGAGAAATTGGAGAAGCTTTTCAACTTTGTTGGAAGGCTGGCGCAGTAAACCATTTCAGAGGAATTTTTATGGAGATAATAAAAACAAATAAAATAACAATAAGAACAAAACTTTATTAAGACCATTCACGCAGTGGTCTCGTAAAACTGTGAAAAAATGAAATTAGTTCATGTAATAAATACGATATATTACATTATAATTTCTCACTAATTCTATCGTAAATTTTTTCTTGTAGGCCTCAGTTAACTGTAGAAACCTCTACACTTTCATCAGACAAAATCCCCGAGAGCGACATACCTCTTCCATTTTCCCCACCGCGCCTTCTTACTATCACTCCGCTCTCCCACTTTATGAACTATCCTGGTATGCTACATTAAAAACTGGAGGTCTTTCATAGGATAGGAAGGCCTAAGTAAAACGAAACAAACCTGAAATTGAACAAAATATAGACAGCCTCCGTAAGTGGTCTTAGGTGATCAAAACCACTTTACGCTGCCTGGAGCCTGTCGAGCGAAACCATCTCCCCTTACCCACCACTCTCATGATCTGAGATGTGATTCTACTAACTAATGCCCACCATATATTTGTTGCCTCTCTCTAACATAGAGTTTTATCAGCATAATTTACCTTCATTGATAATTTCATTTATTCCCATTATCAGTCTGTTTGACAGTGAATTAGAATTGTAAGAACTCAAATGCTGATCATGCCTGTAGCAAAATGTTTAAGCGAATAGATATTTCTGTGACATAATCAGAATAATCGCATTTCCACAGAATACCAAGTTACTCTGTCCAGAAATTTTCTTTTTAAGTCATTCAAATCTCAGAGAAGTAACATTGTATTCTGCAAAAAAGATAGAACTTGTTAATTATCTGTTTCTATATTTATTGCCTGAATAAATATTTGAATTTGATATAAGCTTTCTATAGCTATCGTAGCTTTTGTCTTTTGGAACAACCGCCAATACTTTGTAAAAGGCTAAAAGATCTGCAAGATCTTTGAACAGAAAACAAACACTTCTTAAACAACTGTGGACGTTTTTGAAATCTCTAATGTCGTCGGAAGTGCGATTGTCGCGGTTGTCTCTTTGAAAATTACAAATTTGCTGTCATTCATTCAAAGTATTCTTTTTCTTTCTTAGACAGAGCAAATTTTTGCTGGGTCAAAGCCAGTGCAGCTCTGAGTGGACCTACACACACTATTATTGCTTGATTTCCCAAACATTTCGTGTACAATTATTTTATTTTATTGGTTATTTTCATTATGAATTCACGTATCTGTTGGAGGGTTGCCTTCCTCGAAGGCCAACTTTTCCTCCTTTATAAGACACATCGTCCGAAGAAGGAATGAATTTCTGCCTTTCGTCTGCGCCTGGCGAGTTCTGGTCGCTGTAGTAGCCATCTTCTTGCATAGAAAGCGGCGAATTTCTCTGTTCGTATTCAGGTGGATACTCGAAAACTCCAGAGTTTCTCTCGCAAACGTCCTTATCCTCATCTTCAGAATGAAGCTGTTCCTTCTGGCTTATGAAGTCGTCATCATTTACCTGGCTCACACTTTCTTTGGGCTTCTCTTTATCGAGAGTGTCTTTACGAGCTTTTTCCAACTCGCTGTCCTTGCGTCGGGCAACTCTCTCCTTTGGTGGGTCCTGGAGAATAAATTTCTGTTTTTCTTCATCCTTGGGGTTTTCTGGCTCAAAGATTTCCAGCTCAATGTCTTCTGTAGGGAGGGGTGGCAGCGGGGCGTGTTTTTCTTGTTCTGAAGTGGGGCTGCCTGGAAGTCTTATGAGGCTTTCACCTGGATCCAGATATTCATCGTCAAATGTTGGCTCGTTTAAGTCTGGGTCATCTTCTGCATTCTCAAGATCAAGGTAACCTTCGCCAGTCTGAGAGAGAGGTAAAGGGAATCCGTAAGAAAGAGAGTGGATGGAAGAACTCAGTTTGGATAATTTACGATGCAAAATTACCGCAAAGATGACTTGAAATTGGGGTCAAAAGTAAGCAACCAGGCACAGATAATTCCCTAAATAGCTGGAAAGGATTGAGGTCTTATTTTGTCTCTTATTTTGAGTCATGGAACTTGAAATCGCTTTTGAGGTCAAATTTTTAATAAAGCATACCTCTGAAGATCTCTCTTCCAACCGTTTATCAAGCTCAGCAGTAAGGTCCGTGAATGAAGGTCTGTCATCCGGGCTATGCAACCAACAATGGCACATTACTTCGTACCTATGCAATATATGAATAATTGGATACAAATGTAAATATGACCAACTTCAGGAATAGATGGATAGATTGAATATATGGATGTATGAATGAGTGATGAAAAGTTAGAAATGTTTGGCGAAAAATAAGAATGTGCTCGAAAAAGCCTCATCAAAACTCTTTTCACTGATCAATGAAATACTTACATTTCATTTGGGCAATCCAATGGCTTCTCCATGCGATTTCCTTCCATCAAATACTGATAAACTTCGTTGGCCGGGAGACCTGGGTACGGACATCCACCTTAATGATAAAGAAGTACCCTTAGACGACAATTTTTTCAAAAAGAATTAAATGTAGGCACCGTATCTTTGACATGACATCGCCATCATTAAAACTGAAAAACTTACCAAGTGTAAACAGCTCCCACAACAAAACCCCAAAAGACCATCTACGAGAGAAAGAAATGCGAGACACGTTACCAAAGTTTACAGGGACAAGTAACTTTTAACTTTCACGATTATCTGTGTAACTTACACATCACTCTTGTGCGTGTAGACGCGGTCAACCAAGGCTTCGATGGCCATCCATTTCACTGGGAGCAAGCCCTGTGGACGAACATAAAAACGAATGGTTACTTTAAATCAGGAGGAAAAGCGATGTTTTCATTGAGAGCGAGATTGAAAACCCAATAACGAAGGAGTGAGCGAATTGAAAAGATGAAAAAAGGAAAAAACCAAAAAAAAAAACCAGGGATAAGCTAATAATGAAAACAGCAACAACGAAAACAACAACACAAATCC